ACAGGGGGAGCGTGGGAAGCATAAGAAGTTCAAGGTAGCCACTCCCTAGAATCTCCCAGGGTATATCCCCTAGTTGCAGTAGTATAGATTTAGTCTGCAAAGATTCTGTCTATATGGCGTAAGCAAATAAAGGAACTTAACTCAACTGGACTGCTTCACTGTTGTTCTTGGGATGGGCCTGACAGAATTAATGCCTAGGTATTGTCTTCCTGTTCCATTTTTCTAGCTGACAGCTTCCACTAGATCCCAATGTCTTTTCATTGTCTAGATCCCAATGAGTCATTTCATTCATAGATGGGTGAATATGTTTCCAAACCACAGGGGCCTATTTTTCTTTCTTTCTTAAAAAGTGATCAGCTTTTACATACAGTATGAACAAGAAAGTGGGATGGAATTTCTACCATTTCAAACAAGTAATTTAATGTTTCAGTATGTGACTTCCTCTTTGAACATTAACATGACTCTACTAGATCAGTGGGAGTTTAAAAAAAAAGAAAGAATTATTTCAAATTAGTCCACTTCCCTTTCTTATATCTCAGGCGCTAAAAAAATTCAGAATGTTTGTTTTGACACTGCATCTTCATATTGAACAATTATGCCAACTGAGTAATTATTTTTCCTATCTTTCACATCTGGGTTTTGCATATCCAGAGGCCATTTTTTGGTGTTATAATTGCATAGCCCTGATATATATTTCCAGACAAACATAACTTAACTAAATTCCAAAACAACCTTTGCAGTTACTTCAGAGGATATTTCATTTGTTATCTTCATTGCTTCCCAAAGTAAGATGATCAGCTTGATTGAAATGTTTTTTATCCTCAAATCGAGGGTTTCTGATAATCATAAATGGAACATTGTACAGCTGCTATATATTCATACATAAGAAAATATGATGCCTCATGGTGTTATTCTTGCAAACAAAAGGCAGTTCCATAGGAAGATATTCTGGGCTAATGAAATTTGCAAAGCATTGTTTAAGTTATTCTTTTATATATAGAATCACAGAACTGTATATTTGGAAGAGGCCACAAATATCATCTAGTCCAACCTTATGTAGGAAAACCTTGAGAGGTAGCTGTCCAAACTCTTCTTTAAAATCTCCAGAGATGGAGAACCCACAACTTTTATAAGTAGACTGCTCTACTGTTGTACAGATCTTACCATCAGGAAGTTTTTCCTTATATTTAAATAAAATCTAGGTAGCTGCAAACTGTGGTCCCAGTTTCTGTAACAATGGAAGATAGTTCCTGACCATCTTCCCTGTGCCACCCTTTTATGTACCTGTACATAAAACCATCTTTTCTCTTTTCTCCCAAGTTCTTCAGTCTCTCCTCATAGGTGCCAGCTTTATGAGGTAGACGAGACAGGAAACAAGACCAGATGAACTAATTCTACTTTATTGTAAGGTTACATTAACAGAATCTTGCAAGTCTGAAAGTACTTCTCTCCCCCCATCCCCTTTACAGCCCAAAAACTAGGGAGGGTCTCTTCTGAGTCTCTGCCCACATTCCTACTGGGGCTAAGCCACCTTTTATCTGACTGTTCTCTTGGTTTGTATCTCATTGCCCTGTCTCCAAAGGTCATTCCCATATACCATTACAATAGGGCGTCTTCTCAAATCCAGTATCACCTTTATTTATATTTTATTTCATTTTATTTCACTGAAATATATATAGCCACCCATCTCACACAAGTGACTCGAGTGTACAAGGATTAAATACATGCACACATACAAACAAATCCTACACCACATAACCTTAGGTGCCCAAGGATAAATAGTAACCCCACTCATGGGAGGGAGCACATCAACAACAGTAGAACTCATCTACTAACCTGACCGAAATGCCTGGCAAAAGCCAGATCTTCAGTGGGTTACAAAAGACTAAGAGGGTTGAGGCCATCCAAATCTCTGGGGGAATGCTGTTCCATAGGGCAGTCGCTGCCACTGAGAAGGCACTTTTTTTAAAAAAATAAATTTTATTAAATTAGAGAACGCACAATTCTGCGGTCCAACAAGATGACACTATTTGATAGAAGTGACCCAGAACATGCCCTCTATACTAGATCTAGTGGGGCAAGGAAGAACAATGGGGGAAAGGTGGTCCTGCAAGTAACCTAGCCCTATGCCATGTAGGGCTTTATAGGTGATAACCAGCACCTTGAATTGTACTTGGTAGTCTTCTGGGAGTCAGTGAAGTTTGTGGAGCAGTGGCATTATACAGGTGTCATGAGAAATGCCAAAAAGTGCCCATGTCACTGCATTCTATACCAGCTGCAACTTCCGAGTGCTCTTCAAGGGCAACCCCATGTAGAATGTGTTACAGTAATCCAATGGGAGGTAACTTAGGCATGAGTCACCATCAGCAAGGTCTCCCAGTCCAGAAATGGGCACAATTGGTGCACAAGATGAACCTGTGCAGAAACCAAGAGTCCAGGAGGATCCCGAAATTGTGCACCAACTGGGGAAGTGCACCCCCATGTAGAGATAAAGGTGGAAAATCCCTGGAACCAGGGGGTCTTAAAACCCACAGCCACTCAGTCTTGCCAGAGTTGAGCCAAAGCCTGTTCTTCCCCATCCAGACCCTCACAGCCTCCAGGGACTGGGAAAGGACCTTCACAATTACTTGGTCAGCCCAGGTTAGAGATGTACATACTGATAATATTGCACCCCATGTTGGCAAATTACCTCTCCCAGTGGCTTCATGTAGATGTTACTAGGAATGGGGAGAGGATAGACCCCTAAGCCACCCAAAAAGCAGGCGCCTCAGGCTCAACCTCTCCCACCCTACCAACACTGACCAGAACGAGCCCCAGAGAAAGAAGAACTACCATAGCATGGTGCTTCCCAGTCCTAACTCCTGAGGTGGCTCAGAAGGATACCATCACTTACGGTATCTAAAGCCGCTGAGAGATCAAGGAGGGCCAGGACGGATGCGCTACCCTCATCTTGAGCCTGCTAGAAGTCATTGACAAGTGTGATCAATGCTGTCTCAGTACTATAACCAGACATCCTTTCTCTCTCCTTTGAATCTCTTCTAGCCTGTCAATATCCTTCTAGAAATGTGATGCCCAGAACTTTACACAGGTCTCACTAGTACACAATAGAGGGGTATTTCTTTGGTACAATGTTTTTTCTAATGTAGCCTAGAAGCTCTTCTAGCAGATGTCTCAAACTGGTGGCTCACGTTCAGCTTGTCAGTGACCACACTGAAGTCCTTCTCCAATGAAGTGCTTCCAAACCATGAATCCTCCAACTTACATGGTATGCCCTGTTTTTTTCTCCCACTAAAACCAATATTTTACATTGCTCCCTCTTGAAGGACATCTTGCTCCTTTCAGCCCAGTCTTTCAACTTGGATTGCGAGAGAAGATTAGACTGCGATCACATTCTGTCATCCTAGGTGTTGGCCAGACTGCCCAATTTTGTATTTTCCTCAGATTTGTAAGTAGCCTATCAATCCCATTATCCAGGCCATTAGTAAATATATTAATTAACACAGGCCCCAAGACAGATCCCTGCAGGAACCCACTGGTTACAACTCTTGAACTCACTGCAGCACCATAAATACATGAATTATTTGAGGGACCCCTTCTCCCTGATTACATCTACCCTTCCCATTAGGTCCAACAGAAGAGGTATGCTCCAGGTCTCATCTGCTAGGGAGAGCTATCTGGCAGAGCCCAGGAAGAGAGACTTTTCTGATGTGGCGCTCACCTTTGGTAACATCATTCCCCCAGAGATCAGATTGGCCCCAACCTTACTAGCTTTCTGTAAGGCCTTAAAGACTTGGTTTTGTCATTGGGCTTGGGGACCCAGGTGTGTGATAGTGCCTGTACAGTAGCTGTGTTGATTGTTGTTGGTGATTCTTGGTATACCTCGGCTACCAATTATGTTGT